ATTTTTATACAACTTTCTCTTATTCTAATCTTCCTGTAATCACTATATTAAATTTGGTGTCTTATAATCTTTTCACTGAAAAAATATATGATATTATCAGATGCAGTAGGAACATTATGAACTTTCTCTTTTTATATACGTGTAATAATAGTCTATGTGATTTTGCTGTTATGTATCAGTCTATGTTCATGGTATCAGTGACCAAGTTCATTTGTTTCTTCACATTTCCATGACGTCTGAGTACTTTCTAGATCTTACATTGATTAATTTGCCTATAAACTGATAATTTTCCATGTGACGTATTGGGTAGAGCATAAGAAAAAATTTTGATACTACTCATAGTTGAATGGATATGTTAATCCTTCAGATGTGTAGGTTTAAGAAAACAATGCTGATTATGTCTTTTAAATGACTTGTATTGGTATGCCTACAGAGTAATATATGAGTTTGTTTGATATTCATCCTGTATTGATCAGTCTCAGTAACTCAAACTAAAACAAATATATAGGTGAATCTCTTTAATGAACATTATGCTTTGTCATTTTATTGCTTTCATCTTTAAAATAAAAAAAAATAATTTCAGCCCCTAAATCAGAGACATTTCTATATAGAGTATATCAAAAAGTAGTTATTTTGACAGCTATATACATCTATGTATATAGACAGCTATGTACCATCTCTACAGATGATTTTGTGAAGCAGGGGTCCACTACTCTTCATTTTCATATACTCAAGAACTTATTTGAATTCTGTTTACCAAACTCTTCCTCATATGAGAAATGTGAAAAATATTTCATACAAATGTTTTTTATTGTTTCTACTCTAATCCATTTAATAATGTTTCTTTTAGCGCACGGTCACACTATATTTACTACTATTACCTAATTACTATAATTGAGACATCTCTACCTGTTTATCCAGTTTATTATTAAATATGAGTTTCATTTGAAGGCATTCTCATATATCATCTTTGAAAATGTGTTTTACAATTTTCTTCATTATTTTTTTCAATGCACTCTAGAATTTCTATAGAAGTGCATTTAAGGCTGATTTTTATCTAGAATGATTTTTCATAGACAATTTTAAACAGGGAATAGTCTTATTTTATAACACTATAGTTTTCTGGACATAAACATAAGCAACAATTATTTAGTTCCTTCAGTGTAGTTGCAAAATTTATTTCAAGATATTATTATGTATTTTGGATATTTCTGTGGTTAAAATTTTTGCAACAGTAAAGACTATAGCCTTTGTACACAATTTCCTTCTCATAATATCTCATCATTAGAGGTAGGTTATGCATTTTGGTGGAAGCCCTACAGATGTAAACATTTGTTTTCCTGCAAACAATGCATCAAGAAATGCATGTAGATAGGTGACTACTACAGATATTAATTCTGGTCATCACTTAATAAAAATAGAAACTAAAGACTGTCAAATTTTCTCAATTTTCATCTTTGTAATCAATAAGTATCTTCTTGGAGGAATATCTTCTTGATTGCACAAATCATACTGTCTGTTTGCTTGTCTATACTTTTGCAATCTCTCAAAGTAGACTCTAATTAATATAGAAGAGATGATTGGAATAGGAGTTTGCCACATTAATAAACACTGCAGGATACATGAAAACATCTGCGTAATTCATTTGGAATTTATATGTCTCTAATTATGTATGAAACATGAAAAATATTTGGTATTCTGAGTGAAAGGAATATAAAACTTGAGCTTAATTATGATTTCATGTAATGGTGGGAAGCCAATCTGATGACAACAACTTCCAGATGCCCACATGGGAGATGGGAGAAATCGGTAGGCATAAATAAAAAGAAGTTGAGGACAGAAATCTAGATGTTTTCACTTCTGATACATCCTTCTCTCCCAGGGTAGTCGTCTATCTTCTTTCTTTCCCATATTTTCCCAAATAATCCATCTCCTGTTACTTTAACCTCTGTCCCTTTACTCTTTACTGAAGCTGTTAGTTTACTGGGTGGACAGTTGCTTGTTCCAGATGAGGAGCAGGGCATGCATTTCACCTCCCACTGCATTAGGTCCCCTGACCAGGCAACTACAAATCAAGATGTCTAAATATGGTAGTGTCCAGTTCCGGATTCTTTTGCCACAGATTAGCTGGGACAAATCCTCTAGGCTGTCCTCATAAAGGTGAGTGGGCTGTAAGAAAAGCAACTTTCAAAAAGTAGATTTATAAAACTCGCCATTGCCTTGCTGCTCCCTGATAACCCCAAATGTTGCACTTCTGTGTGGTCTGTCTCTCATATTCAACCTTATAAATTCATGTGTAATTGATATTTATCATTTGGATATTTCAAATTCAGTTGTATTTAAAATTTTCTTAGTGACCCTAAACATGTTCTGGAAGAATTTACAATTTCACTTAATGAGACTCAGTCTTTGAAGTAACTAAGGTGAGAAATAACCAGGTTCTTGTTTTATCCACCTATTTTTCTCACAGTACATAATCTGATGAGAAACTCAGTCAACTCTATACTCAGCTATTTGTAGAATTTGCCAAATTCATTAAAAGCATCCATTGTTGTTGGTTTGAGCTACTGAGACTTCTTACCCCACATGAAATTGACACTACAGCATAAATTGCAATAAATAATAAGCAAGAAAACACTGTGTAAGAAATACACAGATATTTCTCTGAAGTCCTGTGAGTAAATTCTGCTGACTTGTACGTCGGGTATTAAGACCCCTACTGTTGTCTTATTGCTCTTGTCCTTCTTAGGAGCCATTTTTGCTCATATATTTGGATAAGGTTATTTGTATTGGACTCTCAGAAGGTGAAGGTGAAATGAAGAGTATACATCTTACTTCTTAACGTTGGAGATTTTACATATTAACATTCTCACATGATATTTGAAAGAACTTAATAGTTCGGTTGTAATAAGTAGCTGTCTGTCTGTATCAACTTAGCTAGCATGACCTTTGTTCCAAGATTAGTAACTGTGTCCCGTTAAATTTTACCCTTCTCTGTATCAATGACAGTAAGGCATGTGTCTGCAAATTCAAGTTTCTACCATGTTCTTTATTTTATTTTATTTTAATTTTAAAGGTAAAAGAATGAAAACGTATTAACAGACACACAGACATTTAGAAAATAACATAAAAACAATACAAGCAATACAGAATTTCAGACAAGGTGATAGGAAAATAACAATGATTGTTGTATTACATATTGATGTCTTCACATTGGTTGCTCAGATAAACAATTGTAGGCATGTAAGATTGATCAAACAATTAAACATTAACTGTACCTTTCAATAAAGCAATAGAAATCAGTAGTAGAACTATCTTAGCTATCCTGTGCATACATACCCCTTCTTCCTTTCTTTTTTCATTTCCCTTGTCCTAGTTGTTCTTTCCTCAATATCTCATTAGATTAATCATCTAGCCTTAAAGTAACATATTCCAACAATATCTATTCAATAGCCCAAATTTAATTACAAATACATTAAATGTATATTTTCTATAATATAATTATATATGTATAATTATAATGTTTATGAATATTCACTCTAGAACTGTTTTCTGTGAATAAAATAATTATAAGAAATTCAATTAAGTGTATAATTAAAATAATCTATTTATTATTATATAATTATACAAATATTGTATAATTATAATTCTAAAAATTATAATAATATATAATTGTGCAGTTTGTAACTATTCAATATAAATAAAATAATGATGTTTTTATTTAGTATTTCTCTCTTAATTCCTGGATATAATCTTTAAAATATCATTTAAATTTATTTGCCAACATTTTTATGTCTTTGGTAAAACTTCTTTCTTTTGGGTTTTATTGATTTCATGTTTGCAACTGTGAACCAGTGCTTTAAATATAAAATTTTAATGAATACTTTAAGGATGGACCTTCTTAAAATGTCATCTAAAGTTAGGCACATAAATTGCACATAGAGAATTAACAATCTGGACCGAATGGAGCACATTTGAAATAAGGCATCCAGATGGCATGAACAATTTGTGTGGAAATCTAAGTTCGAATTCTTATCCAATGTTCGGTAATTCCAAGCTGAGTATTCTTGGGCAATGCTTCTTCATTATCAACCTAAAGCATTAGGCTATAAAAATTTATGCATGTATTCAAGAATTATTAAATGAGTACTGCAAAACTGGCCACCTGCTTTAGATGTATATGATTATCATTTTTCCTAACTAGACTGTGGATAAGAAAGGATTCTCCTGTGTATTTTTTTTTCAGTTTGCAAACATGTTTTTTATGTATAGAAATGATTCATTTTATTATTTACAAACACACCATATTTATAAACACACATTATTTACAAGCACATAAAACTATGAAATTAATACCTCAAAATATCCCTTTCAAGAAACATCATTTAGCAGTAACAGTAAGTATGTAATATTGGTGATGTCTATGTTCACATCCGGGGTTTAATACTGAGGCTGAGTTAGTACAGGAATTCTTATTTTTACTGGAAAAACAATGTCAAGTCAGTTTAGGAGATGAGGTTTGACTGAAGAAAAAAATGATGGGCCGCGCTTGGTTGGATCTCTCAGTAGTCTGACTACCCAGTATAAGACCTGTAAAACGAATGCCCCCTTTTGCATGGAAACTGGAAAGTCTTTGCAAGGTGACTTGAAGTTTATGTGATGGAGCTCATCTCTTTTCTGCCACTTAACTAGGGAGGAAAATTTAGTGCTAAACTTAGCAGTAGCTATGGATGTATTTGCTTTTTGGATATTTCTTGGTATTAAATGATAGTTGCTTATTTCTTTTCTTCCACTACCCTTAATCCTCTACTCCTCCCTCTGTGGCACATCTTGTCCGTCCCCTCCCACTCTTCCTCCTGTCTTCCCTTCTCCATTTTAACATAGAATTATTCAAAAAGACCTAATTTTTCTCAGTAATTGCTTGTGAGGAAATTATTAGTAATTTTTTCTTTGGTAACTGAATGTCCTATTTTCCTCCACGTGAATTTCATTTTCTTCAGGGAGGCCCACTACACTATGTGAGACTATGAGTAAAGCTGAAATCTGGCTAATTCGGACATACTGGGACTTTGAATTTCCTCGTCCATACCTGCCTAACTTTGAATTTGTTGGAGGACTGCATTGCAAACCTGCCAAACCTCTACCTCCGGTAAGTCTATGATGAGGAATGTTTTAGGTACCTTACAATATTTGACTTTTCTTCAAAATTTGCAGCTTCAAAGAGAGGTTTAGCTGGATATCTTAAACATGTCACTCTAAATTTATTTCCCCCGTCACGTTGGTGATACTGGTTCTTTGTCTACTTGTGGTGAAAGAGGAAATGACTAAAGTGCTTTGCTAAAATTATTGTGTCTATAGTGTGAATGCTGGAGTGGAGAGATGGGAAGCCAGTCATGGAGATCACTAAGGAGACTGTTTCAGTCTTTCTCACAAGCTTATAGCATCAAAAATGGAAATAATTACCAAAGACTTTAATAGAGAAAGTTGCTTCCTGGAGAACTGTTTGTGAATAGCATAGATTTTGAGAAGTGAGAAGAAAATAGTGCTCACAGAAACCACTGGATTTGTCATTGCTCTGAGATTTTAATATTAGAGCATTATCTGCATTGTGTTGATCTTTATTATATTAGCAAACAGTGGCAAACGACCTGGAGTTGAATGTGATGGGTCGATGTTCATCTGTTTATTTCTAGAAGCCAAAGACATTGTTAGGTGATTTCTAGAAATAGCTTGGGGAGTAAATGACATCAGTGTCTACAGACAGCATGAGAAATGACATGGAGTCATCCAACTGAGAGAATCAATTGTATGTGTTATTTCTGATTATGATGTCAAAATTTTTGCAGTAATAAAGAAGAGTGTATACAATATTTCAAAGGATTCCATGAATAAGTGGGTGTCATAAATGTTGGACAGAGCAGTATTGAGAAGCAAAAGAAAGTAACAGAGTACAGTTTGGTGAAAGTATTGCATTAATTAATGATCGGGATTGAGGAGATAAATATTTATTTGATTTTCAAGTCCATGAATAAAACAGCTCTAGAAGGTTGAAGGTCAATGGTTATTCACAGGAGAATTTTTGACTTCTGTTCAGAATAGAGAAGGCATGTATACGTTTAAACTTTCATTTCAGAATGCTGGTTATAGTTTACTTGCCAGCCAAGTTCTGGATACAATTTTATTGAGTATAGTTGAATAGGACTTAATTTAGCAATAGTTAATAATATATAAAGACATGACTCTTGCCTAGGTAACTAGATAATACTCCATGACACAGTGTTGTATCCACCCTCCTACCCTTGCTTCACACACACATACACACACACATCCCTTCACAACACATGCATGTTTTACAAGAGGAATAATAGATTCCATTCCAAGCTCAGCTACTCATATATAGAGAGCAATCTCAGTCAGAGAAATGGATTATATTTGTTATGGGAGCTTCTATATACAGAAAAAAAAAGAAAGATTGAAGTGAGGTTAGAGAAATGGAAAAAAAGAATCAAATTATTTCATGTACAGGTACAAATTTCCTGTAAAGAATGTGATTACTATGTATATACCAAAAAGATACCAAAATCTTTACTAATTAAAAAATGATATAATGAGACACAATCAAGAAAAATTCCTAAAACAGGAATTATGGGATATATACTTATTTATTTGTCTTTGTGTGTATTATTTTCATCAATAAATAACCATTTGGATGCAAAATTGTTTGGTGACATACCAGTTACTGAAACTTATAAATATTCTCCTGCCTTTAACTAAAATAGAAGTCTGCTCCCAGTGAGGATATCATGCTGAGTAATTTTACTGACCATAAATTCAGAAATGCATTAATCCCAAGGTGACCACAGTAGTTGCAGACATGGGACAATTGGGGATACATCTGTCAAAGTGGCATTTACATAGATTTTTCTGTGAATAGTCCCAATTACACACTTTGCAATGCCCATAAATGATGACTCAGGGAATTTATTTTTCAAAGAACTTATGTTTTATTTCTGTAATAAGTCTCAAATTAATAGCATATAGTTAGCATCATTGTAGGGTGGGAGTTTATACATCAAGATGGAGAGAATCACTACCTCATAAATATTATTATAGCAGCAGGTTAACTGTGTTGTCTTATAAAATGTTACTATATATAGTATTTCTAATAAACTTCTCTTAGCCTTATTAATAACAGAAGGCAGAACAATGAGAAAGTTAATTTTGTATAGTATCTAACAAGAAAATAGATGAATTTGTTAGCAACCTTTTGATAAAACTCACATGCTCATTATTTTTGTAGTTGTCTATAATTAGTGTATATTCCTAATACTTAATGGAGAGTCACTTTGAGAAATTAAAATATGCATTTCTCATATCTTTCTCATTTTCAATCCTAAGACTTCTTCTCTCATTCCTCTCCTTTGCTTCCTCCTCTCCAAGAGCTTATCTTCTACTTTCCATCATCTCTGAGCAATCTATCTGCATATCTATCTGTGCATATCTATCTATCTATTTATCTATCTATCTATCTATCTATCTATGCACATCTATGTATAGGAATCCCTTCTAGACACTGTCATGTTCCAGAAAAATTCATATTGTAATCCCATGGAAAAGTTCTTGGAATTCTAGTAAGCCGATTCCAATATACCACTTCCAGTGCAACCTGTAGCAAGAATAAAGACACTAAGGCATATCTGTAGTCATGAGGAGTCAAAGGGGTTCTAAGTCCAGCTAGAACAATGGCTAACCAGAACAAAGGATTTGACCCGGGGACGAACATGGGTTTTGTTATTTCCTACAGAAGGGAATAGCTCAGGATGAGTGACTGTGAAGATGATGGGAAATAAGTGAGTGCTGTGAGCTGGACTAGTTGGGAGGCCTGAAACCATCTCTGCAATATGCAGAGAGAGATGGAGAAAAAGTAATCCACATAATGCAATTTGAGGCAGTATCTAGTGTTTTGGGGCCAGTGTTTCAGTTCTGATGTGTAATTTTTTTATGCCCTGAGAAGTCACAGCCTCTTATCTCAAGGCTTGGTCTCAGCCTTCAGCATGGCTACACATGGCCTAGCTCACACATTATTCGGGAGTCGTAGGTGGGGCTTCACTGACCTTCTGCATTGCTCTAAGGATTACACTACAGCACCACCACTAGATCTATTTGCATTGCTTAAAGACAAATGAGGGTATAAGGAAGAGTCCTAGCCAGCTCTATGTAGATCAATACACAGAAATAGGGCCAGTCTTAGCTAAAATGGAGAAAATTGTTCTTCTTTCAAGGTTGTCCTCCATATCTATCTACCTATCTATCTATTGATCTATCTATCTACTTATCTATCTATCATCCACCTATCAATCTATCTCATATAAGATAAATTATTCATTGCTTAACTTTCTGAGTCTGGCCTATTTCACCTCACATGCTGCTATTTAGTTCCATCCATTTTTGATGCGATTTCATTCTTCTTTGTGGCTGACTGTTCTATTGTGTATACATACCACATTTTCAATCTCTTCAGGGAAATACTATTTCCTAGCTTAGATACTGTGAGTTGTACTGACATAAATATGGGTATTCATGTATCACTACAGTATTCTGTTTTTAATTCTTTCTGACATATACCCAGAAGAGGTGAATATGAGGTGAATCTGAGGTAGACTGGTTCTTTTAATTTTTTGGCAAATGCTCTGTAATAATTTCCATAGTGGTTGCAGTAGTTTACATTGTCACCAACAGTCTAGGAGTCTTCTACCTAATATTGAAACCAGAATTCATTGTGGATGTTTGTTTTTTCATTTCTAAAGATAGTTTGTTTTTTCATTTCTAAAGATAGCTATTTTGATGGGATCATATGGAATCGGAAAGTAGTTGGTTTATATTTCTCTGATACTTAGAGATGTTGAGCATTTTTCTATTTGTAGGTCTTTTGAAAGATGTGTATTTAATTCTTCTGACAATTTAAGGAGTGTTTTCTAGCATTAATTGCTTTGTGTTCTTCATATATTCTAGAAGTTATTCCTCTAGCGAATAGTAGCTAGGAAATATTTTTCTATCATGCTATAGATTGTGTCTTCACTCTGTTATTTCTTTGTCATGTGGAAGTTTTTAACTTTGGTGTAATTTAATTGATATTTGAAATTATTTCATGTGCTTCTGGAGTCCTACTGAGAGAGAATTTTCCTGTCTATTATTTCATAAGTTTCTCCTGTTGTATCTTCTATCAATTTCAAAATTTCTGGCTTTATATAGAGATCCTTCACCCAGTTACACTTGATTTCAGAACATGATAAAGAATAGGGATGTAATTTCAATTTTTTGCATGAGGAAATATCAGTTTTCCCAGCATTGTCTGTCAGAGAATCTGTCTGTTCTCCAACACATGAGTTTTGTTCATTTGTCTCAAATCAGATGTTTGTAGGTACCTTTCTTGTCATGTCTCCTTAGCGTTCTATAAGCTTCCTTTACCTGGGCATCTGACTCATTCCTACTGTGGAGAACTTTTCTGCAGTTATTTCAGAGAGTAGGTTTCTGTACGTCATTGATCGTATTTCAACACCATCCTCAAGGCCTGTTATACTTACATTTGTTTATAAGTCTGCCTAGGTTCTCTGAGGTAACCTTTACATGATTTCTTGCTTTATCTTCACTTATTGCTAGTAACTGAATCTTTTAGCTCATCCACCTTGTCTTCACATCCTCATACCCTTTCCTCTGAATCATCTTGTCTACTGCTAAGACTTGCAATTGACTGTATGATTGATATTTTGCAGTTTTTATTTCTGGTATTTCTTCTGGATTCTTTTTTCTAACCCTACCTCTTTACTGAAGTTGTCTTTTGTGCCCTTCAGGAACTGTGTTTCCTTAGATGCAACAGGGACCCAGGCTCTGGGGCACATCCAGGCTCCGATCATCTTGTAGCACACAAGCCTATCTGACAAAGCTTCTCTCACTATGTTTAAACTTCAGCTGTTTTGTACTGTCCCACCATACCATCAAGCTTCTGCCAAACCCAGAGTTCAGACTTCCACGATCTAGGAACTGCGGTCTTTGTCTCAATCTGGTGAATGTAATTTTTACCATGTCATAGTAATATATTTTCTGGATCCTACCTATTAGGACATGTGCTGTGTAGAACAACAACAGTAACAGCTTGAAACTGTAGAAAATGTAGGAATTTTCTGAGCCTAAGTAGGAGCTGCACAAGCTATCTTTGCATACTTGTTCTAAAATGATCATTTCCTACATGTTCTACAGAAGGTGGGCCAGGCTGGGGAGGTCCAAATGTGACCTTCTAAATTTGCAGAGGAAACACCAGATAATCACTGCTGTCAGTATTCAGGAGACTGCTCTCCCATGTGCTTTCTTCTTAGAGTCTTCACTCACAGGAACATGTTCACCTTTTCCTTTTAGCACTGAACAAAATTCAAAATGACCCTAACCTGATGAGCTGTAGTTTGTTCAGTGCCAAAGTATCTTGGTTCAGTTCAATTACATATATTTGTAGCTCCAAGAGCTCAAGGTTCCTAATACTATAATGCTACAGTCCTACCATCTTCTATCTCCTCACAACTCTTCCTTTCCTAAGGAAAGAGGTTACTGATGGTGATGACAGGTGATTAAAACTTGAAGTGTGATCATCATCTAAAGTGAAGTTGCTCTTGTATGAGTGAGAGAAAGCATACATCTGCATTCTCTGTGCCCAATTTTTAACTTTATACCTTTTTCAAAACTGGAAGCTTAGTTATCTAGAATGACTTTTGTATATAGGTTGCCTACAGCCCACCATCTTCCAATCTCTTCTAATAATGTGTAAAGCTTACATCTGGGATTTTCCCTGTATTTTCTTCCATGAATACTTTCCTAAGTTTTCAAACAACTTTGTCAGTTAGGTAAATCAAATCACATAACAATTGCACATAACATATTGCACATAACAATTGCATACCCCCTGAGCAAAGCTCTCCTTTAAAGTCTGTTCATTTATGTAGTGGTTTGATTCCATTGCTTGTACTTGTAATCATTTATTGCATACTTTAGCTATCTTTACTAAATATATTTTCTCTTAAACCAGATGGCTCCACATCTCAGACAGCAGAACCTGTCTGTCTTAGTTTTTTTGTTGTTATTGTCATTGCTGAGACCAAATACCAATTACCAACACCTTAAGGGTGGTGTTACACACACTTAATCCAAGCATCATACATCCTAGATTCAGTCAGTTCTGAAAAGCCCAACCTCCGAGTGCATGAGGCTTTGCGGGACACCTAGACATAAGCCACAACAATATCTAACAATTTCTTTCACACTTCTTTTCACTTTATCCACCTAAATGCTGTGCCTTTTTAATGGAAAGAATTCATGTCTGCAGGAAATGGAAGAATTTGTCCAGAGCTCAGGTGAAGATGGTATTGTGGTGTTTTCTCTGGGGTCCATGGTGAAAAACCTCACAGAGGAAAAAGCCAACCTCATTGCCTCAGCCCTCGCCCAGATTCCGCAGAAGGTCAGTATGCCCTCTGGTCCTGCTGAGCAGCTCTACACTAACTGGGGAGAAAGGGCAGGAAATCTTACTCTTTCCTGGGATAAGTTAAATTCCCTGCACATGGAGCATAACTGATACAGGTTGTAAGTAGGACTGTGTACAACATTAAAATGGACAGTTTAGTCACATGTCATCATTTGCCTCATTGATCATTGTCACACTGACATTATTGTGGAAACAGATGTTGTGATCACTTGTGTTTACTGGACTAGAGATGCAAATATTAGGTCATTCTAAATATTTTGACTGGCACTAACAAATGCAAAATGTTCTAGAGGGTGATACTGCTGTGGTCGAGGATAAGAAAAAATTATACATTGAAGAGTGGTGAAATGTGCAAAAAAATACTCTGAATTTCTAAGTTTTATTTTCTTTCAAAGTTAAAATTGCTTTTGAATTAGATATCTAGGTTTACTTATTCTTTTCAAATGAAATATTATGGGGTATAAAGGGGTCAAAATTCTAATATAGTTGTCAAATGATATGCTTTTTCTTCTTTATGCTATTTAGTTAATCTGAATTTATATTCTTCAATTCATTTTTCTTTTATTTGTTAAATTCCATAAATTTAGGACATTAATTTGTATGCTTGTTATTTTAAAGCTTTCTGCCTTTTAGTACTGAATCAAATGTTGTTTTACTTCCCCAAGAAACCGTGTACGAAAACGTTCATTAGCATTTGAGCAAATACCTTATTAAAACAGAATATACTCAACATACCTAATTTTGCCTTGCTAAGAAAAAAGGAAGGAAATATATAAGAGGAAAGAGAGAAAGAAAGAAAGAAAGGAAAATAAAAGGGAAAAACAAAGCAGAGAGATAATGGAGAAATGAAAGGAAGGAGGCAGGGATCCAGGAAGACAGAAATTGAGGAAAAAGGAAAGAAGAGGAAAAACATGATGGGGAAAAAAAAATCACAAAACCTAAAGTTAAAAATGTTTGATCAGCTATTAAAGAGCAAAAATGACTAAATACATTTAATGAATCAATTGTATAGCATAAATATGTCATGTTAAATCAACATATGCTGATTTGCTCTTTTTTATTTTATATTTTTCACTATGATCTCATTCCTAACAGCATTTAAATGATTCACACCAAAATAATAACTGTATACTCACCAAGTGAGAAGTATCAAAATAATACCTTCCATAGTAGACTATTAGTACCACCTCTTCAAGCAAGTAGATATGTCCTCCTCTCAATTATCACCCGAAGGGTGATGGCCAAGTGATTTCTGAGTAATTGTACAGCATTAGCACAGACACATTTTCTATTCTTACTTGCAGAGTGACAGCCTTGTCCTCCACAGGTTTTATGGAGATACAAGGGAAAGGAGCCGGCCACGTTAGGACCCAATACTCGGCTGCTTGACTGGATTCCCCAGAACGACCTTCTTGGTAAGACCCTGAGAGGAGAAGAGCTGTACGGCTGGATAACAGATTATTTCAGCAAATTTTAAGAACAAATGCATTCAAAATGTTTAACTATTTGAACATTTGACATTTGATATTCAGTTTTAAAAGAGATATAATTGAATAATTGTCCATTAATTTTATAGATGCATGCTTTCTTTGGTTCACACAAGAGCATCTTCAGTTAAGAAGCTCATCAGCCTGGGAGCTTCAATCATATGTCATCACCATTAGTCAGGCCTCCTTTACAGAGACGAAGGAGTAGAGTTCTGCTCTTGCTGGGATCACACTTTTGTAGGGTTACAATATGTTCATCTTCTGCAGAAAATCACCTTCTTCATTGAGTTGTGCAGTTCCTTTCCTCTCTTCTGTCTCTGAAATTCTTCTAGTGTGTTATGTGTTTATCCATTTTTCAATCTAAACCTATCCTTAAACCAGGCCACCCAAAAACCAAAGCTTTCATCACTCATGGTGGAACAAATGGGATCTATGAAGCTATTTATCATGGGGTCCCCATGGTGGGAGTCCCCATGTTTGCTGATCAGCCTGACAACATTGCTCACATGAAGGCCAAAGGGGCAGCTGTGGAGGTCAACATGAACACAATGACAAGTGCAGACCTGCTGGGTGCCTTGAGAGCAGTCATCAACGACCCTTCGTAAGTACTGCTGCATGTGATGGCTGACTTCCACTGACTATGCTTTCTATCCTACAGGAAAATTTGAAATGTTTCATACCTTTGTAATAGGGTTACATGCAATAATGTAATAGTAGTGCAATATGACTGCTATAGAATCAAATATTTAACCTCAATTGCTGATATGGTCTTGTGACATTGGGAGATAAAAAAAATCAAAAGACACTTAAAATTAATTTCAAATAGTATTTTGATTATAGGCAATTTTGTAATATTTTCTGAACAATCTGTTTAATTTTATAAATAAACCTCTAAATGTTATAAAACAATCAGTAAATATAGTATGAACATGATAATGTGTTCAATGTTGATCATTCTCAAATAACTATTAATACTCAGTGTTAGGTAGAGTTATTATATACTGTCTTAAAATAATAACTATTTCTCAATGAGTATCATATTTCAGAATAATATAGAAATCATTCTTCTTCAGGGGACTAGAGGATTGGGAGTTAAAATAATTCTTAGTACGATATTCTGTTTTTCAAAAATTGATCATGGTTTTGAATTGACTGTGTTAGTTACCAGGTTTCTTTTGTTGGGTAGGCAAGTAAATAAGTTCTATGATTCTTTAACTGTCATGTATAAAATATTCTTTAATCTTTATAATTGATTTTAAAACTTTTGATGGAGGAAAACAATCATAAATACTTAGAATTTCGAAGTAAACACTAAAAGTTATTTAAATTAGCTTTCTATTGACCCTAGACATTATACAACCTCTGAAATTATTTGGAAACAAAGTTATAGTGCATGGTTTATATAGATGCATATATGTTCTTTTAAAAGCATAGTTTACTTTTTTGAATTTACATATATGGTTTTATTTCTCAAATATATGTATGCTTCAAATTTAAATAAAGAAATGAGTTTGAGTAGAGTATATGTATATAGAGAAAATCTTGAACAAAGGTTCAGTTTTGTGGAAAAAGGCTTTTACTGCCAAATTAGGTTGCCTGACATGCATAAGGGTACTGAAGTGATAGTATTTTGGGACCTTACTTATGTTTCAGTACAGTTGGGAGATAGGACAACTAATCTTTTTTTGCTATGCCCAAGGAAGAATACAATGAAATAATCTCCAGCCTTAAGTCTATTGCTCCTTACACACTTGCAAATTCAGACCTTATTTCCTTCTCCCATTCCTCACAATGCACTGCCCACACCAGGGCAGCTATTCCTGAACCACTTACCTTCTCTTATCTCAATGAATCAAGTAGGTATCATTTATACCAGTAACAAATGAAAGTGAAATCTACTAATTCTAGCAAAGTTATCAGGAAACTTGAAGTAAAATCATATCATGCTCTTAATCACATAGACTTGTCCCCAATGTTGTTTGAGAAATAGAGGTCTGAACTCTATCACTGTTGCAATAGTGATTTCTAATTATTTGGAACTATGATTCTGGAAAGGTATTTGTATTACCTGTAGTAACTTAAAGTGCATGTATTTGGATATTTCATTATGTTAATTACCCTAGCATTATTATTCAGTGATGATGTGGCTGTAAAGGATATGATTTTTAGTATAGATATAAAAATGGATGTAAAGGAGCTATATCACAGTGCAAAGCTATCAGAACTTTGAATTAACTCATTAGTATTTACTATCAGTTGGCTGTCTCTGTAAAGAAAACTATTTACATGGTAGTGGCCATGATATGGATGTTTGAAATGAAATTATTCCATAATTCTGAATCATTCACCATTCAGGTGTTAGAACAGTTCTGGGTACTAGAGTTCAAATGATATGAATTTTTTCACAAGACATTTAATCCATGCATATACAACTGAATATTTTTTATTTCCATTTATGTGCATTTGACCACACTGGTTAAGAACATACTTCTTCCACACATTCCTCTTTTCAACCTTGAAAGTTCTAAGCAATTAACAAAGCTACCGCACTAATCAAACTTTTTCAGAGTTTGTTGGACCTTTTCTTTTTTAAAGATGGAAAAAATATTTTATTCAAAACTGGCCAAACTGGGAAAGCAGCTGGTCTAACCCCCTCAAACACACCAAAGCAGTCCATTTATAAGACAGGTGGATGTGCTCGCTTCGGCAGCACATATACTAAAATATAAGACAGGTGGAAAAGGCAGAAAATGTGATGTAGATTCAGGCTTTGGTCCACCAGAAGACCCAAAAATATGATACAAGTCTAGTTCTACTAAAATTTCTTTTGTGCTAAGGCTAGAGGTGGAAATGCTCCTCTCAGAATAAGGAAGCTGGAGAAATATGTTAGCTTAAAGAAAGAAAAAAAAAACCCTCATGTGTGTGTGCTTGAAAAAATATTTTCTTTTTAATGAAATATATTTTTAGTACACAATTTGATCCATTGACTCCTATAATATATGTCACATATTTACACTCCATTAAAACAACCCTTCTTTTCTATGTTTTTTTTTCTCTAGTTATAAGGAGAATGCCATGAGGTTATCAAGAATTCACCATGATCAGCCAGTGAAACCCCTGGACCGAGCAGTCTTCTGGATCGAGTTTGTCATGCGCCACAAAGGAGCCAAGCACCTGAGGGTTGCAGCCCACGACCTCTCCTGGTTCCAGTACCACTCACTGGATGTGATTGGGTTCCTGCTGGCCTGCTTAGCAACTGCTATGTTGTTGGTCACAAAGTGTTGCTTATTTTCCTACCATACGTTTATGAAGGCAGGAAGGAAGATGAAGAGGGAATAGATCTTTCTAAGTTTGACAAAGTGCTGAATTGGGCAATAATATTAATTCCAGTCCCAAAGAACTCACTGAAAACCCACCTTGATCTTATTTACAAATATCTTCTTTTGTTTCTGTGAACACTGAATCCATGTTTAGCCAATGTTAGCAACATTCTGAAAAGTTACTCATATTCATGTGGTTTTTGTTGTTCTCATTATGAGGGAGAAAGTCTATATTTCAACCAGATGAGTCTTCATTTGCCTTTTCCTCTGGGGCTTTACCAGGGAGCTATTCATTCTACATACATTCTATTCATAATGTCATTTAAAATTTACCTTTGATTGATATGCTAAGTCTATTTGGAATTGTTGGGAAACTTCCCAATGTACATGGAATTTGGTGAATGGAAGGAACTCACAATTGTCAAATTCCCACTTCTCCATAGATCTTACAATTGAAGAACCATCATCACAGGAGATCAGTCTATTAAGGGAAAATAATGATTTTCTTGCATAATAAAAATCAGCTCTTTAGCTTGCCAAATGTTACAGGAATGTGAGTATGAATTTACACAGTAATAGTGCATCACAGTGTGAAAGATTTATCTCTACAACTCTACAATTTTTATTGAGCACATTTAGATAATCACAATCTGCTTTTCTGTTCTTTCTAAGGAGATCCTTTTGTGTGCTCCCCACCCAGTGAGTCACAATTTTGGCTCATTAAATTTCAAAGAATAGATTAATAGAGTGATCATTTTGCCTAATACAAAATGTTAAATTTGAATAAAATATTTGTAATGGGTACAACAAAAAGAAATATCAAAGGATATATAATTTTGTGAAATTTTAAACTTGGAAAAATATTGATCACATTATTGTCAATTCATTGTATTTAAAAATCAGTAGAGTTTAATATGTAATCAGTATTTATAATGAATTTCAATGTTACACCTACAATAAACATTTACAATTTGAGATTATGGTATGTGTTTACCAATTTGCCTTGCGTAAATTCAATTGGTTAATTGCTGTGTTAACAATATTTTGACTATGATTATGATAAGACATGATGAGTGTGATTATTTATTACTTTAAAACAAAAATTAATGGCACATACTCATATAGGAATCAGTGTTTTGCTACTTTAGCAAATATACTCTTGAACTTGTTTTATCTTTACAAAGTTAGTTACATGTTTATAACTCACATTTTAGTGATTGATGCATAATAGAGGAGATAAAAGATATCCATTAGTTTAAAGAAAACTTTTGAAATTCTTATACATTTTTGTATGATGTAGCAAACTGCTTAGTTTAAAAAGTAGCTATATGACAAGTTCTTGTATTCTTGCTAAATGTATAGAGTATCGAAAATACAACTAAATTTTTGTGAAATAGTTGTGAACAATGAAAGTGGATTTTTGTACTGTTTCAAACTTTTAAAAAGGTGATTCATTTCAATGTGTTTTCAGTTTTACAATTTTAGCATACTTGGAAGGTGCTTTCTGTCCAGTTTGTTGGTTGGGAGCCAATGACTAAAGTGCAGCATAGGACAAACCAAGCATGGATTTGGAAACTATGCTCCGTCACTCTCTCCCAGATTTGCCTGTCCACTGGGTCTATAACAGTCTGCATGATCCCAAATCCACCAGCACTGAATCAGTTTCATCACATGTCAATATCTGGATGAATTCTCAGAACTTGTCACTGACCTTTGTATTTGTTCTTTTTTTTTTTTAAAAATTTTTAAATTTTTTTAATTTTAAAGAATAAAAGAAGGATAACATAATAATAGGGGGGACTTAGCAAATTACAGACAAAATGGTAGGAAATTATCAATGGTTATCGTTTTACATATTATTATCTACAAAAGAGTTTCTCAGGAAAACAAATAGACAAATAATAGTGAGTTAGAGACAAAAGAGGTAGGAGATTATCAA